ATTTATCCAGAAAGAATCACGGGGATTGGTTTTCCTGCCAAGGCCGTGTAGCCGCTGTGCAAACAATGGAAGACGCCCCGGCTCACCCCAGCAGGCTGAACGCTGAGTTTTCACTAATCGCAACTCCCGGGAGGCCGAGGGGGCCTGACGCCGGGTCCAGGACGTGACCGCTTCAGAGGCCTGAGACAGGCAGTCTGCCTCAGGACACGGCGTGTCAAATACGTGTTTTCCGTTTCATTCAGAACATATGTCAGTGAAACGAGCTCTAATCAAGCAATGAGCCCCGTGGACGAACATGACTCATTGTGCAGTGAGTCTCCGAACGCTGTGGATGCCTCGCCTTCCCCAGGCCACCCTTCACTCTGTTGCGGTGACCCTTCCCCCAAACCTGTGCCGTTGTAGAGACACCGTCGATGGACCCTTCTGCGGAGGTGTCTCTCTCCTGGGCTGGAAGCCCAGATCTCTGCAGGGACCATCCCCGAGCACAGTCAAGGGGCTGCCAAAGGTTCAGCTACAAAACCCCCACAAAAAGGGGAACGTCTAAAAACTGAAACATCAACTGCTCTTAGAAGAATAACTGCAACTTCGATTTTACAACTGAAGAGCTACTTTTTAATCCCTTAAACTGCACAATTTAGGATCACTGGAGCTTAATAAAAATCCAAGTCCCAAGCCCCTTGTGGATATGATTCATTTCAGAAAGACCGATCAGCTTGATGCCAAGCTCATCAGCACTGATCACGTGCTAAAACTGTTTATATATGAAAAGCCAGAACTGCACTCATTTGTGGAATGTAAAGTAACATAATGGGAGACTAACACCTAAGGACGGTTGAAGTAAGGGTCGGGAGGATGGCCCCACGGCCTGATCGCCGAGCCCATGCGCTGGGGGAAAAGGCAGCTGGGATAGAGAGAGGAGCACTGAGTCAATGATGGTTGGAGGGATGGCTCGGGACGGGAGATGTGTGCTGAAAGTAGACTACGGACCAAAGATGATGGCCGCTTGTCACCTGTACTGCAAACTGTAACACCCAACAGGACAGAGAGCGTAGGAGGGAGTGTGCCTGGCACAGACAGGAAGGGGTGGGGGCGGGGAAGGATTCTGGGGACACTGGGGTGGGGAGTGGGCACTGGTGGAGGGGCGGGTACCCGGACACTGACTGAAATGCAATCATGGAAGTCTGTAAGTCTGTAAATGTTTCTCACGATGATTCATTAAAATTTAAAAACTAATAATGATGAAATTTAATTTAAAAAAAAAAAAACAGAAAGAAAAGCCAGAATTACTTCCCGGTCCTATTTAACGGGTTCCGTGAAACCCACCCACGCGATTCAGAGACAGCGACGTGTGTACTCCTTCCTGTCACTCACGGCCAACACTCCGGGTCTCCGCCTCGGGAAAATGTGCCACTGGAGGAGCCGTAGGGACAGATTCCTTGGGACTATTTCCTGTCACTTTTGTTCACAGAGCCGCAGGGGTTCGGACCACTGCCAGCACTTGCTCTGGAAACCGAAGACACGGGAGGGACTCGGGGGCGCCTCACGCTCTGCACACGTGAAGACGCCACACGCCTCGGTGACTGGATGCCCCTGGCAGGCCCCGCCCGGGGCCCCCCCAGGACCCACCCTCAGCCTCCCCCCCATGCCGTGGAAACCCGTGTTGCGCTTCCTAACGCCCCTGCGTCCCTGTGTTTGTTCAGGCCGAGGACAGCACCGCAGGGCCTGCTCCCGGGGCGGCTCTGTTTGCTTTGGCCTCGAGAGTCGAGGCAGGAACTTGGCCTCAGTCTCCCCTCCCGGGCTCCCCTGGCACCTGGGGGGTGGGCTGAACTGGCTGCAGGGCCCCCCAGGTGTGCGGGGCATCTCGCGGAATCCAGCAGCTGTCTGAGGAAGGCACGGAGGACTCTCTGCTCACCAGAGACAACTGAGGAGCAAACTACCTGGATTCTTTGTTTTAATTTTTGTTTGGGGGCCAGACCCAGTACAGCCCAGCTCAGGGGCCATCTGCGGTGCCAAAACTTGAACCCTGGTCAGCCACAGGCAGGCAAGCGCCCTGCCGGCTGTGCTGTCTCCCTGGCCCACACTGCCTGAACCGAGCAGAGGAGGATGGCAGGTGTGGGGCAGGTGGCCGGGAGCAATTCCGGGCTGAGATGCCTGGACCCCCAGCATCCTGGGAGGAGGCCCGACGTTCCCGAGGAGCCCAGGCGACCGCCCCTGGGGAGCGCAGGGCAAGACCCCCGCTGCAAGCTGCACCCACTCTCAGTCACCAAGTCGGCCAGGGCCCACCTGCAAGTGTTCAGGAACCGCAGCTGAAGGGCCAAGAGAGCAGGGGGCGAAGGCACTGCCCTGCCTGCGGTCAGCCCCGGTGTGGCCCCAGCACCACACACGTCCCCTGAGCGCGACCAGGAGTGACCCCTGGGCACAGCCAGGCCTGGCCGAGAAACAAAAACAAACAGAGGCAATGAAAGACACAGCCGGGCTGAAAGCCCCCGAGGAGACCCCAGGCCACGCCCTCCGCTGCCCCGGGCACCTGGACAGAGTGGACGCTCTGCCCGGGACACACGCCTCGCACCCGCGCGCCCACCGGCCCTTCCTGCCCCTGTGACCGCAGCGTCCCTGGCCCACTACTCCACCCTGCAGCCGCAGGCGTGATGGACGCCACGTCCAGCAGCCCTGCAGAGACCCCACCCAGCGAGCCAGCGACTCATCTCAGCCAGACCCCGAGAAGCAGCGCCGAGTCTCCCTGAGCCCCCTCAGCACCTAGCTGCCGCGGGCACTGTGCCCTCTGCCCTGTGTCTGTCCCTGAGCCCTGGACCTGTGCCAGTGCTCTGTGACCTGTGCCCTCTGCCCTCTGCTCTGTGCCAGCCACTCACTCGTGCCCGGTCGGAGCAGGTGAGGGCCCCTGACAGAGGCACCGGGGACACTTCTGCCGCCTGCCCCAGCCCCCATTCTGGCTGGAGTCTTGGAGCACTGGGGCCCGGGAGCACAGGGCACACCCCAGCCAGCCCTCAGCGAAGCCACGGAGACACAGGCTGAGACACGGCGCTGACCCACCTCCACGGGTCGCGGAATCGCCGCCGGAGAGGAGGAAGGGGGGGCCACGAGCTGCTCCCGCCCGCGCCGAGCTGTGCAGACACATTTGCTTCCAATTTGGGGAGCGGCCGGGCTGGGAACTCAGGCTCGGTTTACGATTCCAGCACTTTGAGTTACAGAAGACACTCACACAAACAACCGCGTTCTTATAAATAAAATCACACTGAAGTCCTGCCCCGTCTTCGAAACAGAGAGCAGTTGCAGAGCGAGCGGGAACCACTTCTATATCTTTGTCAGAAATTTATTTAATGATAGCTATAAGTCCCCTATTACTAACCAAGTGATTTATGGTGATTCGCGCTAATCTTCAGGCCTCTTGCAGAGAAAACACATTTAAGACAGCAAACTAAGCCAACCTCAGCTTACCAAGAGCCTAAATAATGTGCGACATAGCTCAGAAGACAACAATGGGTATTTATTCTCACTCTCCGTGTTGTTCTAACGTGATATACCAAACCAAGCAGCAACTGTGCCTTCCCCCACACACACACAATTTAACCAATTTACCTATAGAATGATTTAGTTGTTCTCAGTAAAAGTCTGAGTTTCCAAATTAATAAAACCTCTTTCTCTAAGAAAGAAGCTCAGAGTGGTCAGGGAGCAAGGGCTGGGCTGGGGGAAGGAAAACCCGAAATCAAAGTTAGAGTGCAGGAAAGCCAGGCCTGAGGCGAAGCAAATCAGCCCAGTGCCAAGACCTCCAAAAACAAGGTGAAGAGGACACGGGCCGTGGCTCCCGCGGAGCAGTCACACTGGGCCACAGGCCACGGCTCCCGTGGAAGAGTCACACTGAGTCACGGGCCACGGCTCCCATGGAACAGTCACACTGAGCCACGGGCCACGGCTCCCATGGAACAGTCACACTGAGCCACGGGCCACGGCTCCCATGGAACAGTCCCATTGAGGTACGGGCCATGGCTGCCATGGAACAGACACACTGAGCCACAGGCCACAGCTCCCATGGAACAGTCACTGAGCCCAGCAGGACTGGCACATCTCTCACAGCCCGGCACCCTCTCCACTCAGAACTCGCTGCAGGCCCTGAGCTCGCTCGCAGAGACTGACAGGATCCAGAAGGACGACGGCAACAATGAAGGAACCTCCCGTCCCCCATCCCGGGAGGAGGAGCAGACGCGGCTGGGTGCAGGGCCTGAGCCAGGCTGCCCTGCGTGGGCCACACTCGGGGGCTGAGTGATGCAGGATGCCCGCGGGCGAGCGAGAGGGGCGGGAGGGAAAGGAAACCAGGGCAGGCAAGTGTCCGCCCTGGGTTGCCCAGCTGAGAGGAGGCATCTGCTGAGCACCAGTGGGCTTGGAGGGCCCGGCCCCCTGCGGAAAATGGCACACAAGCGTCTCCCTCCCGGCCTGCCCGCCCGGGCCCCACCTGAGCTGAGGTGGGAACAGAGGAACAGTCCACGGCGGGAGGGACATGATGGACACATGCGGGGAGCGCAAGAGGCAGCCCGCCCCTCAGAGGCCCAGACGCACCCCAGTCACCGTCTGGGACAAGTGCCCGCCCGCGGGGACCCAGGGTCCCCTAACCCCCCGCCCGCAGGGACCCAGGGCCCCCTACCCCCGCCTCTGTCCTTCCTGCCCTTCCTCCGCTTCTAGTGGAGTGTCCTGATCAAGGCCAGCTCAGGCCCCTGCCACTTCCCAGGGTCCCCAGGTGGGAACTGAGGCCTCCCGAGGCTGCCAGCGTGCAGGCTGGACACACAGCCTGTATGGGCAGGACAGGGTGTTTCTGCTCGTCTAAAGGGCCCAGGACACCCTGAAGGCTGCCGGCTTCGCTCCCACCCATGAAAGCAACACGGGGCCGTGCAGTGCCCCCCCCCCCTTTCCCGCCCAGGTGCTGGGCACAGAGCCTCGCTGTAAGGAGAGACAACCACCCCCCACCGGCAGGCCACGGGGGAGCTTACCTCTGCTCTCTGCGTCCTGGGGAAGGCGGCCGACTTCTCCAGGGCAAACACGTGCACCAGGTAGAGGCAGGCGCCCTGCTCGCGGTCCAGGACGGCGGCCGTCTGCAGGAGGCCCGAGCGGCGGCCAATGGTGAAGAGGCGACCCACGGTCTGGTCCTCGCAGCGCACAGACACAATGTAGTACTCGACGGTGGCCGGGGCGCCCGCGGGGCTGGACGCCTCCAGGGCGATGACGTGGGTGCCGACGGGCTCCCCCTCCTTCAGGATGGTGATGTACTTGGGCTGCGAGAACACGGGCCCCTCGTGGCCCTGCAGGATGACGGTCAGCTCGGTGGTGGACCGGCGCCTCTCCGGGCCCAGGTCGGTGGCAGAGATGACAAGGTTGTAGACGAGCTTGGAGGGCACCAGGGCCGAGGCCACGCGCAGGTCCCCGCTATACCGGTCCACCATGAAGGCGTCGGTGTCCCCGCTGACGATCTCAAACTCCACCTCCCCGTTGGCGCCCTCATCGGGGTCTGCGGCCAGCAGGGTGGTCAGCACGGAGCCCACCGCGGCCGCGGGGTCCGCGGCCAGCGCGTTCTGGGAGATGAAGGTGGGGGCGTTGTCGTTGAGGTCGGTGACCAAGATGGTGACGTTCTTCAGGGCGTGGCGCCGGGTCTCCACGGGCACCGCCTGGTCGCTGGCCTTCACGGTCAGCTCAAAGAGGTTGGCAAACTCCCGGTCGATCTCAGCACTGGTGTAGATGGTGCCCGTGGCCTTGTCGATGGCGAAGTGGCTGCCCCTGGGCATCTGCTGGACGATGGCGTAGGAGAGCTGCCCGTTGATGTCGGCGTCGGGGTCGTGGGCGGGCACCGAGAGCACGGACGTGCCGATGGGCACGTTCTCCACGATGGACTTGAAGATGTCCCCGGGCGGGAAGCTGGGGGGGTTGTCGTTGAAGTCCCGCACGTGGATGACCACGGACATGGTGCAGGAGCGCGGCGGCCGGCCCCGGTCCCTGGCGCTGATGTTCAGCTTGTACAGGGACTGGGTCTCGAAGTCCAGCTTCTTCGCCAGGAAGATGCTGCCCGTGTTGGGGCTGATGCTGAAGGTGCCGTGGTTGTCGGCCCCCGCGATGCTGTACTGCAGGTCTGCGTTGTCCCCCGAGTCGGAGTCGGTGGCCGACACCGAGGACACCAGCTCGCCGACCCGCATGTTCTCCAGGACATCAACGAAGAGCGTGGACTTGGGGAAGGAAGGCGTGTTGTCGTTCTCGTCCAGGACCTCGATGCTCAGGGTGCAGGTGGAGCTGAGCGGGACGGCGCCCGAGTCCACGGCCTGGACCACCAGGGAGTAGGCAGGCGTGGCCTCATGGTCTAGCCGGCCCACGAGCGTCACCTGCCCCGAGCTGCCATCCACGGCGAACCGCCTCTCTTCGTTGCCTCCGACGACGGAGTAGCGGATCAACCCGTTGCTGCCCTCGTCCACGTCCGAGGCAGACACGCGGAGGACCTGGGTCAGGTTGGCCGCGGACTCGGAGATGGTGGCCTGGTACAAGTCCTTGAGGAAGCGGGGCGCGTTGTCGTTGATGTCCTTCATGTACACGTGCACGGTGGCCTGGTCCTTGAGCGGCTGGGGGAGGCCCTGGTCCGAGGCGATGACCAGGAAGCTGAACACGGCGGCCCCCTGGAGGCGCGTGAGGGCCTCCCTGTCCAGCCGGCGCGTGCTGGAAATGGCCCCGCTCACCGCGTGCAGCTCGAAGTCGGGCTGCGCCGTCTCCAGCACGTACCGGACGTCCCCGTTGGGCCCGAAGTCCTTGTCCTCCGCGCTGACCCGGCCCACGAAGGCGCCGGCCTCCTGCTCCTCCTCGAAGTAGAAGGAGTAGTTAGTGCTGTTGAACAGGGGCCGGTTGTCGTTCACGTCCTCCAGCGTGATGGACACGTTGACCGTGGCGCGGAGCGGCTCCACGGCGCGGTCGGACGCCACCACCACCAGCACATAGCGGTCCTGCAGCTCGCGGTCCAGCTCCGTCTGCACGTAGAGCTGCCCGTCGGGGAAGATGCCGAAGGCCCCGCCCACGTTGCCCTCGGCGATGCTGTAGACGATCTCCCCGTTGAGCCCTGAGTCCTGGTCGGCCGCTCGCACCTGGAAGAAGCGCGAGTTCACGGGCTCGGCCTCGGAGAGCGCCACCTCGTAGGAGAGCTGGTCGAAGACGGGAGGGTGGTCGTTCACGTCGTGCACCCGCACGGTCACCAGCAGGCTGGAGGAGAGCCGCGGCACGCCCCGGTCGGCCGCCACCACCTCCAGCTGGTAGGCGCCCGCGTGCACGTCCAGGGCCCCGAGCAGGGTCACCTCCCCGCTGTCCTCGTCGATGGCGAACAGGCCCTGGGGGTTCTGTCGCAGGCTGTAGAGGACCAGCCCGTTGGCGCCCTCGTCGGGGTCCGAGGCCCGCGCCCGGAAGATGCTGTGCCGCGGCTGCCAGTTCTCCACCACGTCCACGGCCTCCACCGCCTGCAGGAAGTGGGGCGGGTTGTCGTTCAGGTCCTTGACCGTGATGTTGACCAGGGCGTCCCCGGCCACGGCGCCCCCGCTGGCCACCACGCGCAGCTGGTAGAAGGACTGCTCCTCCCTGTCCACCACGCCCGCCGTGCGCAGCTGGCCCGTGGCGGGGTCCATGGCGAACACGCCCCGCTGGTCGCCGGTGGTGACGAGGTAGCTGATGTTGGCGTGCAGGTCGCGGCTGGAGGCGGACACGCGCCCCACGGGGTAGCCCGCGGCCACGTTCTCAAAGACCACGAAGCTGTACACGGCCTGGCCAAAGACGGGCGGGCTGTCCTGCGTGTCCAGCACAGTGACGGTGACGATGGCCTGGCTGGGGGACGCCAGGCCGCCCCCGTCCACGGCTGCCACCTGCAGCTGGTAGGTGGTCTTCTCCTCCCGGTCCAGGGCCACCCGCGTGGAGATGCGCCCGCTGCGGGCGTGCACCTGGAACCGAGCGCTGTCCCCGGCCGACAGGCTGTACCTGACCGTGCCGTTGAGGCCCAGGTCCGGGTCGGTGGCCGACACGGTGGTGACGGGGCTGCCCGCGGGCTCGTTCTCCGGGATGTGGGCGAAGTACTGGACGGGGTAGAAGAGGGGGCTGTTGTCGTTCAGGTCCAGCACGCTGACGTTCACCTGGGCCAGGCTGGACTGCGGGGGCGCCCCGAGGTCGGAGGCCAGCACCCACAGGGAGTAGAAGGCCTGCTCCTCCCGGTCCAGGGCGGCCAGCGTGCTCAGGCTGCCCGAGACCGGGTCCAGGCGGAAGGGCCGCGGGCCGGCCTCTGCGTCCTGCAGGGAGAAGCGGACGGTGCCGTTGTCGCCCAGGTCGCCGTCGGTGGCCGTCAGGACCAGGAGCTCAGTGCCGGCGGGGGCGTTCTCCACCACCGAGACCGCGTAGCCCTGGGGCTGGGCGAAGGCGGGCTTCTGGTCGTTCACGTCCAGCAGCGTGACCAGCAGCTGGGCGTAGGAGACGCGGGGGTGCAGGCCCTGGTCGCGGGCGCTGATGTTCAGCACGACCTCGGAGGCCAGCTCGCGGTCGAGCCGCGCCGCCAAGCCGGTGGTCACCAGGCCGCTGTGCTCGCTGATGTGGAACCAGCCCAGCTCGTTGCCGGACACGATGCTGTAGCGCAGGTGCGCGTTGAGGCCCGAGTCGCCGTCGGTGGCCGACACGCCGCTGACGTAGCTCCCGGGGGGCGCCTCCTCGCTCAGGTCGACGCGGTACACGGGCTGCGCGAAGACGGGCGGGTGGTCGTTGATGTCGTTGACGAAGATGACCAGGCTGGCCACGGAGGAGCGCGCGCGCACGGCGGCGTGCGGGGGCGCGCCGTAGTTGTCGGACACGGCGACGGTGAGGTTGTAGGAGGGGATGCGCTCGCGGTCCAGCGCGCTGGCCACCTTGATGAGGCTGAGGTTGGGCACCTGGCTGCTCTGCACCTCGAAGTGGCGCTGCTCGTTGCCGCCCAGGATGCGCACGGAGATGTTGCCGTTGGCGGCGGGCGAGTCGGCGTCGGTGACGGTCAGCAGCGCCACCACCGTGCCCACCTGCGCGTTCTCGTCCACGGAGGCGTAGCGCGACGTGGCGGGGAAGTAGCGGAACTTGACCACGGGGTCGTTGTCGTTCACGTCCTGCAGCTGGATGAGCGCCTCGGCGCGGCCCGTGAGCGCGGGCACGCCGCCGTCCTGCGCCTGCACGGTCAGCGCGTACTGGCGCCGCGCCTCGAAGTCCAGCGGCTCGCGCACCGTCACCAGCCCCGTCTCGGGGTCCACCTGGAAGGGCGAGCCCTCGTCCTGCAGCCGGTAGCGCACGGCCGCGTTGGCGCCCTCGTCCGCGTCGGCCGCCGCCACGCGCAGCACGCTGGCGCCCGGCGGCGCGTCCTCGGGCACGCGCGCCTCGTAGCGCGCGCGGCCGAAGACGGGCGGGTTGTCGTTGACGTCCTGCACGGTCACGTTCACCTGCAGCTGGCCGCGCCGCCGCGGCTCGCCCCTGTCCTCCACCTCCACCAGCAGCTGGTAGCGCGGCGCGCGCTCGCGGTCCAGCCCGCCCTGCGAGACCAGGTGCAGGAAGGCGCCCTCGCCGCCCGGGTGCGGCGTCACGTCCAGCGAGAAGCGGCCCGCCTCGTTGCCGCGCACGATGCGGTAGGAGCGGTGGTCCACGCCGTTGGCGGCCGTGTCCGCGTCGGTGGCCGTGTCCAGGATGACCTGGCGCCCGCGGCCGCTGTCCTCCTTGAAGGCCACGGCCACGGACGGGTCCGGGAAGACGGGCGCGTTGTCGTTGAGGTCGCGCACCAGCACGCGCACCTCGGTCGGGTAGGTGGGCGCGCTGGACAGCACCACCAGGTCCAGCGCGTCGCTGGGCAGCGCCTCGCGGTCGATGGGCGCCGCGGTGCGCAGCTCGCCGCTGCTGGCGTTGAGCGCGAAGAGCGCGTGGCGCTCGCTCAGGCGGTAGGTGAAGCCGGGCCGCGTGCGCACGGCGCCCACCAGCGTGCCCGGGGGCTGCTCCTCCAGCACCTGGAAGAGCTGGCGCGGCTCGGCGGCGCGCGCGCGCGGCGCGGGCAGCAGGCAGAGCAGGCGCAGCAGGCAGAGCGCGCGCAGCAGGGCGCGGGCCGCGGCGCGGCGCATGGTCCCGGCCGGCCCGGCGCGGGGGCGCGCGGCTCAGCTCCGGCGCCGCCGCCGGCCCGGGCCCGGCATGGTCCGGCGCCCCGCTCCGGGCCGCGGGCCCGCTGTCCGCCCGGCCCGGCCCGGCCCGGCCCTGCCCACCAGCCGGCCCGACGCCCAACTTCGCTCGGCGCCCGCGGAGCCCGCACTGGCGCGGCCGCGCTCGGGGGCGCCGGCCTGTCAGCCCCGCCCCGCCCCGCGCGCGCCCATTGGCCGCCGCGCCGCGCGCCCCGCCCCCGGCCGGCCGGCCCGCCCCGCCCCGCGCGCGCCCGTTGGCCGCCGCGCCGCGCGCCCCGCCCCCGCCCGCCGGGCCCCGCCCCGCCGCGCCGCCGCGCGCGCCCATTGGCCGCCGCGCCGCCCGCCCCGCCCCCGCCCGCCCCCCACCCGCGAGTCGGGGCTGTCGGGGCGCCCCCGCCCCCGCCCCCCCGTCCCTCCCGGGCCGGCCCCGCGCGGGGCTGCGGGGGCCGGGGCGGGGCGGGCGGGCGGGCGGAGGGCCGGGGGGCCGAGTGACGGGGAAGCGGGGTAGCGGCGCCGGAATAACGGGGAAACCGGGTAAAGGGGCAACGGGGGGGGGGGGCGCGGAATAACGGGGGCGGGGTCCGGGAAACGGGGACCCGGGGCTGCGCGGCCGGAATAACGGGGGGCGGAGGCGGGGTCTGCACGGGTAACGGGGCCGGGGCCGCGCGGGGCCGGGGAAACGGGCCGGGAAACCGGGTCCGGTCGGGGTCCGGGGAACCGGGTCCAATTAGGGTCCGGGGAACCGGGTCGGTTCTGGGTCCGGGGAACGGGGTCCGGTCGGGGTCCCGGGAACCGGGTCCAATCAAGGTCCGGGGAACCGGGTCGGTTCTGGGTCCAGGGAACCGGGTCCAATCAAGGTCCGGGGAACCGGGTCCGGTCGGGGTCCGGGGAACCGAGTCGATTCGGGGTCCGGGGAACCGGGTCCAGTCGGGGTCCGGGGAACCGGGTCGGTTCGGGGTCCGGGGAACCGGGTCCAGTCGGGGTCCCGGGAACCGAGTCGGTTCTGGGTCCAGGGAACGGGGTCCATCGGGGTCCGGGGAACCGGGTCCAATTAGGGTCCGGGGAACCGGGTCCGGTCGGGGTCCCGGGAACCGAGTCGGTTCGGGGTCCGGGGAACCGGGTCCGGTCGGGGTCCCGGGAACCGGGTCCAATCAAGGTCCGGGGAACCGGGTCGGTTCGGGGTCCGGGGAACCGGGTCCGGTCGGGGTCCGGGGAACCGAGTCGATTCGGGGTCCGGGGAACCGGGTCCGGTCGGGGTCCGGGGAACCGAGTCGATTCGGGGTCCGGGGAACCGGGTCCGGTCGGGGTCCCGGGAACCGAGTCGGTTCTGGGTCCAGGGAACCGGGTCCAATCAAGGTCCGGGGAACCGGGTCCGGTCGGGGTCCGGGGAACCGAGTCGATTCGGGGTCCGGGGAACCGGGTTCGGTCGGGGTCCGGGGAACCGGGTCGGTTCGGGGTCCGGGGAACCGGGTCCGGTCGGGGTTCGGGGGAACCGGGCCGGCTGACGATCCGGTCCGTCCGCGCCCCCGAGCCCGCGCCGGCCGTCCGCGGAGGCCCCGCGCGCCCCTGACCCTCCCCGGACTCTCGGGGCCCCTGGGGCGCGCGGCCGTCGGAACCGCCCGCCGGGCCGACACCGGGCCGGGACTCGGCCCACCGCGGCCGCTCGGAGCCGGCGCCCCCGGCCCTCTGCGCGGGTGCGCGCTGCCCCCTGCCGGCCGGCAGCGGCACTGCGCCCCGGCCACCCCGAGGACGCCGCCCCGCGCCCCGCGCCCCGCGCCCCGCGCAGGTAGTTTGTCCCCTCGGGCGTGGGACCCCTGGAGCCGGCTGCAGTGGGGAGCGCTCACTCTGCACCGCGCGTGTTGGTTCCCTAAGGGACAGTGCACGTAGATGGTGTCCCGAGACCCACAGGCGAGGACTCCGAACCGCGCTGTCCGGCGGGCGGGTTCGAGGGTGGGGGCCCCGGAGTTGCAGACGGCCTCACGGGGGAGAGCCGGAGTGGCACGGAGAGACTCCAGCGGGGGGCTGCGGTCATCAGGCGCGTTCCCCCTTTGGAGTTCCAGACCTACCACGCGTGAGAAAATAGAAAGGAGTGCGTGTAGCAGCAATTAGATTAAAGGACAGAGAAGTTCCCTGCACAGTAAAGCGTGCCCCTTTGTGAGTACACGAGTACTGTGGGTGCTGCAACCACACCTGCGTTCAGTGTCTGGTGGCCCAGACCAGCCACCTGGCCCTCCCAGGCCTCCCCGGCAGAAAGACAGAGAGACCCCGAGACGGGGCCACAGCCTGACGGTTGGATGGGCCATTTCATGCAGAGCTACCAGCGTACTTATAGAACGTCTCAGAGGGGTGGAAGGACGCAGGTGTGACTGGTCATTCACATAGGTAAGATATTGGAGCTGGAGCAATAGCACAGCTGGTTTGCCTTGCAAGTGGCCGACCCGGGTTCCATCCCCAGCATCCCATGTGGTCCCCTGAGCACCGCCAGGGGTGATTCCTGAGTGTGGAGCCACTGTGCATCGCAGGGTGTGACCCGAAAAAGCACATAGGTAAGGTATCTGGAAATTTACATAGATCATTTACAGAGATAAACGTGGAAAATTCCCTTGGGGAGATCAAGGCAGGGAGACACTCTGTCTCCCGGGGACATCTACGTTGCTTTTATCTTTCCCTCTAGTTGTATAGGTTATCAATACTTGCAGTTGTTTGCATAAACACAATAGGAGACAAAGATCCCAACACTTCGTTCTCTGGGTCTGAGAGCAAGCAAGACTTTTCCCTTAAAATCCCAGACTAAGTCCTCAGGCCAGTTCAGCTTGTCCTTCCCCAAAGGAGTCCTTTCTCTTAAGTCATAACAGCTTGCATCAAGACCATGCACTAATACTTTCTGGAATGTCCCATTTTGATGCTGGGGTAGCTTTGCCACTCACCCTGGGTCCATCCCAGTCAGTCCCATGGCGGGACCTCCCTTTTGGGGTGTTAGGAACTACAGCAACCGAAGCCTAAGCCAAGTAATTATGCCCAGGAGTAGATATATTTCAGAGTCAATCAACTTCCAAATATTAGGAGAATAGTAGTGATGGCCTTTCTGTGTTTAACCAAAGAACATTGCACTAGTCACTGTCATTGTCACTGTCCTCCCGTTGTTCATCGATTTGCTCGAGCGGGCCCAGTAACGTCTCCATTGTGACACTTGTTACCGTGTTTGGCATATCGAATACGTCACAGGGAGCTTGTCAGGCTTTGCCATGCAGGTGAGATACTCTCCATAGCTTGCTGTGCTCTCCAAGAGGGGCAGAGGAATAGAACTCAGGTCAGTCATGTTGGCTGCGTGCAAGGCAAACACCCTACCCGCTGTGCTATCGATTGCTCCACAGTAAAGGGCATTTGCCTTGCACGCGGCCGACCCAGGCAACCCGAGTTCGATTCCTCTGCCCCTCTCGGAGAGCCCAGCAAGCTACCGAGAGTGTCTCGCCCGCACAGCAAAGTCTGGCAAGCTACCTGTGAGGTATTTGATATGCCAAACACGGTAACAAGTGTCACAATGGAGACGTTACTGGGCCCGCTCGAGCAAATCGATGAACAACGAACGGGAGGACAGTGCTACAGGGAAATAGAAAAGCAGGTACAAGGACGCAGCATTGCAACTACAAATCACTACAAGTACAAAGCCCAGAATTACCAGAAAGTTTTGACTTGTAAGTTATCAAGACTGACTTGGGGAACTGGGACCATGAGAGGTAAAACACAAAGGGAAGGTCAAAGATAAACTTTAAATTAAGGATTTAATGCAAGAGCAGGGCAAGCTTCCCTGGGAGGAGCGGAAGGGGCAATCCACCGACGAAGCCTGGAACCCTTTGGGTTAATAGCCAACACCCCTTCATCTTTGCTTTGACCAACTGCTTTGTATTTTTTTCAATTGAATCACCATAAGATACAGAGTTACAGAGCTGATTATAGTTGGTTTCAGTCACACACACACACACACACACCTGTGTCCATTTCCCACCAAAGTGTCCCCGGGTTCCCTCCTGCCACCAGCCTGTCTATGACGGACACTTTCCTTCTCTGTCTTAGTCTCTCTGTCTCTCTTCTCTCTGTCTCTCTGTCTCTGTGTTTCTCCTCTCTCCCCCCCCCCATCCCTTTTGGGGCATTATTTTTTGCAAAGCAGGTACTGAGAGGTTATCATATTTGTTCCTTTACTTCCTGTTTTAGCACGCTATCCTTTTTTTTTTCTTTCCAAGGCTCTCTGGTGAGAGCGTTTCAATAAGCATTAAATTGGATGCTTAGAAAGTATTCGCCAATTTTAATAGATTGGGGGAAGGCGTGCAAACACACCGAGAAACGAGAATAGTGCAGCTGGTTGGCACTCAAGAACACATAACAATCCCTTTCATGATGAACACACACTGGCATGGCGCCTTGGCCACACGTCTGATGTTTTTCATCTTTTTGGCCCCAGGTAGAGGATCTGAGGCTGACCCCGACCTTCAGTGAGCACATTAGCATCCCCGCTGGGAAGGGACCCCAGCCTCCTCCCTCCCTCCCTCCCTCTTCCTCCCTCTCCCCTCCCCTCCAGTTCTCTCCCCTCATCCCCTCCTCTTCCCCTTCTCTCCTCCCCTCCCCCCTCCCCTCACTCCTCTCCCTCCTCTGAGCTTCCCCATCCCTCCTTCTCCTGCCACAACCCCACAGCCCCCGAGACCCCTTCACGAAAGGAAAGCAGCTTCTTCGTTTCTGTGTTTTTGCAGAACACGTAAGATTAAACTGTTCTTTTCTTTCCTTCTCTTCATTGTTGTGCTTTAGAGAATCAGCATTTTTCAGTATTTTCCTGGCAGACTGCCTTCCATTCTTCTCCTCGTTCTATACCTCAGTCTTCTGAAGGTTGGAAGCCGTTCCTTGATTCGGGCTGGCGTTGACGACCATCGTTGCATCTCCGGTCGAGTTCATCC